TTATGTTGGCAGAGTTTATGTCATGTGTATTTCAGCACAACAAAAACTGAAAGATAAAAGCCAATGGAGGCCACTGTGTTTGATCTTGCATGGTGGCCTGGCCTCATGCTGTAGGGTGTACTTTTTTCCTACTTTTGCTTGGCCCATATTCACTCTGTAAAACCTGTTTCTATTCCTACCTCTAATAACTTTGCTACCATTTTTTAAATGAGTAGAAAATAGTAGGCTAGTGTTGATAGATTGTTTTACAAGCTTGATCTTCATACTGCTGCTCCTCCAACTTTTATGAATAAGGAAGCACTTTATTAAGTTCCACATTCTGCCTTTTGTAAGTCTTTGGTGGAACCAAATTCTCCATTTCTCAACAATTTCCAAAGTGAAGCTGGTACAGCAGGTCTTGGTGCATAGCCCATATTTTGAGTAACAGGTTTTATGAAATTTGTGAAGGTAAGATAGACAATATCTGAGATTTCAACAAAACATACTAAATAATTAAATGACAGCTGCCTCAAAATGATATGGGATGCAATAGAATTTGAGATGTGTTCTTTCTGAACACTAGATATGACAAGTCCTATAAATATTAAGCCTCAGGTTATATATTATCTATTGCTACATAGCAAAATCATTTGCTTGAAACAACATCAAACATTTTTTTGTTCATGAATCTGAAATTTTCACAAAGCTTTGCAGAGATACCTTGTCTCAGTTCCACATGGTATCAACTGGGACAGCTCAACAGGGATCAGAGGAACCATTTCCAGAATGCTTCATTCTTATAGTTGGTGACCTGTTGGCTTTTACCTCTGAGCTCAGTTAGACTGTCAGAAAACAATCTTTGTTCCTCTCCATATAACCTCTCCACGAGGTACTTATGCTTTCTCATAGCAACTGAGTTCCAAGAACAAATATCTCAAAAGAACACTGGAAACACATGACATTTTTATGACTCAGCCTTAAAAATCACACAGGGTCATTTCTGTCATAATTGCTACAATTACAAAGGCCAACATATTCAAGGATGAAGGTTTTGATGGTGGAGTGTCAGTTGGTGAGGAAAATAAAGAATGTGACATATAAATGAGGTTGTAACTGGAAAATACAATCTGCCATACCTATCAATCCCAAATCCTTTTAGAACAGATCAAAAATAAATTAAGATTTAAAATGGTCTTATTCTAGCTATACTTATTACTATTTATGTGTATTTTGGGAAAGACAAGGAAAGAAATTTGAAAGAGATTAGCATAAATTGAGGAAAAGTTTGAAGAATGAAAGACTATCTTGTAGAGAATATTAAAAAACAGAAGAAATAGATTGAAAATGGAGGCGAGAGTAGAAAAAGAAGATAAAATGAAAATACACAGAAAAGTAGATGTAAATATGAGGATGAATATCGCTTACTCATTTCCTTCCATTTTTTATTCTGCCACCTATACAAGAGTGAAGTGAACACAAATCTGGATAGAGAAGCCTTCTTTGTAATTTACTGCCAATATTTGGTAGAAAGAAAGTAAGGCTGGAGCCTGGTTCTAGACAATAAATGAGTTGAGCGATTTTTCTTTTAAAAACTGCATTCCCACAGTTGAATGAATTAAGATGTAAAACAGGATTTCTCAGGAAGTTCTTATGCTTCACAAGTTCCCCTTGGAGAGGAACAGTGAGCTAGAGCTGGGACGAAAAAGCCTTACTGCCTGGTTCACTAGATTACATTTGTCCTCTTAAAATTTAAGGTGATTTGGGTGAAGCACATACTGATAGATGTTCTTCAGACTAGACCAGGATCCCTGCAGTTTAAAATCACCATGATAATCAAATCTTCCAGGTCACAGTGAGAAATCCTAGTTATAATAACACAAGGAAACAAAATATTTCCATGTTCATATATAGTCGCGTAAACTAGCTCCTGACACTGATTCCTTTGGCCTACATAGTGTCTTGGACAGGTCTAAAGTGACCTGAGAAAGTCACATTATCCTCAATGGCTATTGTTCAAAGTATTATTTCCTGTGCTATTATCCTGGAGGAGCATTTCAAAGATCAAAAGTGAGTAGTTCCACCACATATTTCCTTTTCAGCAAAGTCACTGAGCACAGTTATGTATCAGAAGCTCACCATTTCTCCACTCTTGCTTTAACTGCTCACTTCAGGTTCCAAAGTTAAGGACTCCTTGGATGCAACACTCTTTGGGTGCTACGTGAGATGCTCCAGTCATGCTGTTGCAGTGTAGTCTTGGAAGAAAAATGAGGTAAAATGTCTGTATTTTTTTAATATTTCTGCCCAGCCATGTCTATTTTCGGACATCCTGGAGTTCTTCCTAAAGGCAAATGTCAAAATCTTCAATGCCATTTGTGAATAAGGGCTGCACTTACTTAAAAGAATAAAAGCTGGTCAGTGGGATGAGTAAAATGAAAAGTACCAGGTTAAAAGAAGCAGTTACTGAACTACACCAACATTGAAGTCCTGAAAGTAAACCACCTACCTCGTTTACTCCTCTCCCTTTCTATTTTCTGCCCCGACCCTTCTCATTCCCTAAAGAATCTGGATTTACTTGAGAGACTGAGTAGAGGCTTAGTTGATTTCTTAGATGTATGACTTTGGGCATGTCAGTTAATTCCCTTCTCTGGTGCTTCCACACAGAATTAAAATAAGAATCTTCATCCCTCTTTTTCTCCCTTTGAACTTTGCCAAAGAAAGCACTACAAAAACATGCAGGGAAACTCTGCCAGCATGTATAGCTGCCCTATGAGGATACATTGTATGTTCTCCACACAGAGTCTAGAAATTGGGCCTTTCCTGTTATCTTCATGCATTATAAAGATAACATTATCATTTGACAAAATATCTTCAAATACTAAAAAAAAATAAGCTACTGAAACTATGATGCTGAAAGTGAGCGACGTGAACCCCTGGCTTTCCTGGAATCCCTCCACTTCATTTTGCCTGCACACTACCCTCCAATTACTCCCTCCTTCTATGTATCAGAAAAGCCTGGTTCTAGCAGTACTCAGCCCCGTGATCTTCTAATATAAAAGAAGAGCCTGGAGTTTACATTCGAGCTGAGAATTCTAGTCTCAGTATCTTCAATATAGTTATGCCACATTTTCAATATATTTGTACACAGTACATGGTAGGAAACTTTGACTATAGTGCCTGATTCTCTAAGCACCTGTATTAATTTGGGCAGGCTGCTGTAATAAATTGGCATGGGCCAAATGGCTTAAACAAATTTATTTTCCCACAGTTCTGGAAGTTGAAGTCCAAGTTCAACATGTCAGCAGATTTGGTTCTTTGTAAGGCTCTCTTTCCTGGCTTAGCTACCATCTTTCTGTGTCTTTGTGGTCCTTCCCTTGATCGTTCCACTTCTTCTTACTAGACCTACCCAACTAGGGCATATCCTGAAAACCTCCTTTTTAACTAAGTCAACACTGTAAGATCTAATCTTCAAATACAGTTACGTTTACAGATTAAGTCTTCAGTATATTAATGAGGGGCATACTTCAGTCCATAACGACCTCTATAAAAATTATTATCATGGAGACTGAAGTAAAATGCTGCCAAGAACATAATTTAGAAAATGCTTTCTAAATAAGTTACCATAGAAATGTTATATTCTAAATACCATTAGTATTAGCATTATTACTACTAATATTTCTGAAATATTATCAACCTCCTGAGAAATCTAAATTTTCCACCCTAAGGAGAAGTATCCTATAGCAGCCAAGTAAATTAAAATGTCTAGATCTAAATTCTGGTCTACTTGTTAGCTGTGTCACCTTCAGAAATTGTATTAACTTCTCTAAGCTTTATTCTCCCTATCATAAATTAAGGAAAGTAATAATAGTACCTACATTATAATAGCACATGATGATGGTCAAAAGAATTAAAAGGAACAACACGTTAAAGTGACTGGCTAATAGTATATCTTCAGTAAATACTGGTTGTTATTAATATATAGATATTATACAGAGACCACCATCATGATCAAATGAGGACTAGTTTTTGTGTGGCAGTGGGCATTGCCACTGCCAATCTCATCTATTGTTAGCAGAGGAAAATAGTGAAGGACAGGCTAGGGATGTGGCTCAGCAGCACAAGTGTCTGCCTGACAAGCACAAGGTTGTGAGTTTGATTCCTGGTACCAAAACAAAAGAAAGAAAGAACGCAGGCAGAAAGAAAGAAAGAAGAGAGAAAAAAGTAAAAGAATTATTGCCCTAAAAAAAAAGAGGGTGGGCACTGAGGATTTAGCACAGTGGCATAAGCATCTGCCTGGCAAACATGAGGTCATAAATTCAACCCCCAGTACAAAAAAATTACTGCCCTCTCTGACATAGAGAAAGTTAAAAACTAGAGAACATGGAATAGTTAAGATCCCATGGTAGAGTTGCATGATCAAGTGAGCATAAATTAAAATTGTCTAAGTTCTAATTCTGACTTTCTTAACAATGCCCTTGGAGGTGTCTTATTTTTAGGTTGCTCTGAGGCTAAGTTAAAAACAAACAAACTTCATGTATCACACAAGAAAAGTAAAAAGAAGTAAGAATGAATACACAATTTTGTCAATTTCCCTGAGAACAAGAAATTCTGCTAAATAACCATTTAATATTTCTCATATTACTAGCTGATTTCACTTTATCACTAGCTATATTCCATCCCTCAGTTTTGCTTCCACTGTAATATATTTCCTTTAACTTTCTTTTCCCAGATAGCATACCTCCAAGTTCAATTGTTCTGTCAATTGTGTTTTAAATCATACTGATTTCCATTAACCACTTGTGGTACCAATTTCTTGATCTGCTTTTTCTTCTGAACCAATCATCTTTATGCCCACCAAAAGCTGGAAAGCTAATTAAATTAAGAATGGCGAGAGTTATTCAAGAGAGATAAAAGCATGAAGATAAAGACAGTGAAAAAATGAAATTAAAATAGCACTAAGGGAGACTACACGTGTACTAAAAAGCACAGTAACGGAGCAGATAGAGACAGGGAAAAGAGGAAAGCAAGGTAGAAAACAGAGCCTGCTTATGCTTACTCCATCCCTCTTTCAGAACCAAGGACAGAGCTACTGAACAGCTGACCCCAACAACCTTCAATTGAGGGCCCTCCTGAAACCTCTAGGGAAACGGATGCATTGGAAGCAGCTATGGAACATGCAGTCAGGTGGAATAGAGAAGCTGGAGGAGCTTAGTGGCAAAAATGGACGATTTTATTTCTGTGCATTTCCATAGTTTCTAGGTCCTGGGAAAAGCTAAGTTGGCTTTGCTTGGGTACATCTGTTGTCAGTAAATGGCTGCAAGAGCTGAGGTGTTAAACTCCACAATCTCCAGAAATCAGAAGAAATTTTCAAGGTAAGTAGTTTTTCCTTTCATTTCCAATGTAGTACATTTTGGTTTACTGAAAGATCGTCTGATTAGGTTAGAACTCTTTGTTTCACAGCGACTAGGTATTAAAATCCCATGCCTCTCGGATTTAAAAACCTGAGAAAACCGCTTTCATTTTTCCTTCAGTGGTTGGACAGTAGAAACCTATTCTTTTCTTTTATTTTCTCCTTTTATCTAAAAAAAAATTTCCCCTGTGGGCTCTAGAAGCTATACCAAGGCAGAAATAAATGATAGAAAATAAAAAGCTGTAATTATTCCTGGGATTTGTATGAAAGTTGATTGTATTTCTCTTAAGTGTTTTACTTAACTGTAAGGGTCTGTTCTTTGAAACTCCCCAATTCACCACCCTGATAATCCAGGTCTGAGGGTTTGGAGAGGCACTATTTTCAATGGTCTATTTAAAATCAGGCTGTTTCCAAGTCAGAATCCAATTAGTCCCAGCAGAGATGTGTAGTACTTGAGATGATAATTGTGTATATTTTCTTCAATGATGGTATATGATTTTGAGTGCATTGTTATTGTTTAATTGTGGAACATCCATTACTTAATGTAGCTAGGACAGCAGAAGTTACTGCAATTAGTCACTTATTCCAATTCATACATATAATGTAATCAAATCTCATCAAAATGCATGATAAATATTAATGCAGCAATAGCAAAGTGAAACTTGGATTCTAAACTTATTCTGCATGCTTGTTTGCACTTTTTAGGTGAAGCCTTTTGCTTACTGATACTAAAAGGTCAGTGAAAGCTCTTTCTTTGAGTAAAAGTGAAGGACGGTTGCTTGACATGAACTTGGACTCTCTCATAGCCAAAAATAAGGAGAGATAATATGACAGATATTCTTACTTGGGCAATTGCTTATCTGTAGTAAAATATTTTCAAAGGTCTGTATGACTAGCAGTGAGCAGAGAGGTTGAAGAAGAAAAATACAGATAATATCTAAACAGAAAGGATCTTGTAATGTGCACTAAAGAAAATGCCAAATTGATTCTACCTAATACTAAATTTAATTTCTAATGCATTGAAATTTGTCATCAATTAATATGTGCTTATTGATTAATGTATTGAGTTCCTCAATTTTATATCTGATTGAAAAGACAGAAAGCTCAGTCCTGAGAAAATGCCAAGGAAAATAAAGGTGCTCAGCTTTACTAGGCAAATTTAATGAGAAGAAAATAATATTATCTTGGTATTCAGTAACTAGCTATAGATTTTTTCTGTACATTTAATACAAACAATGCAAATGCATCCAAAAATATAAATATGCTATGTATTTCAATGCACTTGTGAATCTTTATTAGGAAAATAAACCAGGCAGCAATTTGCAAGAATAAAGTGCCATAGAAATGCTAAAGACTACCTCCAATAATAATGATAATATAACTCCCACTGGTTCTATGAGCAGCATGCACCTGCATTCACTTCAAGAAGCTTACCAAGGCAGTGTGCATAGATATTCTAAAAAAGCAAGATATTAAAATTAGTCCCTATTTGAAGTTTGTCTGCATCAGGGAAATGTTGGACTAGTTAAGAACACAAGCTCTGGACTCAGACAGATCCATCAAATCCATCATTTACTGGTTTACGACCTCATAAATGATATTTAATTTCTCTATCACTTGCTTTCTTCATCTGCATAATGAGGATAATAATAGCATCTCCTTCCTTCATCAGGTGGTTGTGAGGTTTAAATATGATAATGCTTATAAATTTGAACTATTATATTTATTAATTTATCAGGCAATTCAACATGTCTGAATTGAATAAAAATCATAAAAAGCTCGGAAGACAGTAGTCTTCAGGATGTGACTGGGCAAAAGATTACAGATGGCAATATTCAGGGACCTGTGATATGGGAGAACATATGTGATGGAACCTGCTACCAAAGTGTTTTATTCTGGGTTAAAGAAAATTCATCTCAGTTTGTGAATGACTCCCAACATCAACTTCTACCAGCATAGCTACTTTAACAAATTGTGAGTTTTGGATTTAAGGAAACATGAGATCAAATGTTGACTTATATCAGTCCCTTGTGCACTGTGTAATCTTGAGCAAGTTACCTAAATTCTCCCTCTCCTTTTCAATCTATGAAGAAACACACCAATATTGTTCTGTAGGGATGCTACACGTGAAGCAATGGTGCCAGTGCAAAGTTGCCTGGAATTGGTTCTGTTTAGGAAGTTGAGGACTCAAGGTGTTTTTTTGATTCTTGCTTAATTAGAAATCCTTAATGAAAAGAACAAATGATTAAAACACTGTAAATCTTCATGAGTATCCAGGTGCCAAAAAAGTGCCCTGCAAACATTTCAGGAACACTTTCACTCTGCACCAAGAAACCTTCACTCCGCATCAGCACAACGAGATGCTCTTCAACTCCGCTTCTTCAACTAAGTTATGCTCTGTACGAGATGGTATAACTCACTATAAAGACTGAGATAAATCAGTAATGTGTAAAAAATTTAACTCTTAACAATTGTTACTAATTCTATACGTAATGTATATTAAAAGGCCACCTTGCCTTTACTTTCCCATCTCTTAACATTCTTTGCTGAAGCCATCAGTATCCTCCTCCTTTCCAAGTCCTGTAGACAGTTTTCAGGCGTAACTTCACTCACAGACCACTTCACTTAGTCATACTTAACTGTTAACATTAAAAATAAGCATACATCAAGCACTGTGTTTCAGATTTTGTGCCAGAGCACTGATGTTCAGTGAGGAGAGCAATTTTGCCCCTCCAGCAAGGCACATTTGACAATGTCTGGAGATATTTTTGATTATCAAAACTTGGGGGGAGGGTGTGCTACTGGCACCTAGTAGGTAGATGCCAGGAATGCTGCTAAACCTCCTACAATGCACAAGACAGCCCTCCACAATGGATAATAATACAGCCCATGAGTGCCAAGTCTTTACATACATAATCTCATTTACTCTTCACAATAACCCTATAAAGAAAGGATGATTTATCCATGTTTTTCTAGGGAAGAAACTACTCTGTCATTATGAATTACTTAGAGAGTGATTATTGAGTTAATGAATTCTACAGTCTCTCAGCTTCTTCCTACCTGAGACCAGTTTACTATCTGTTAGCATATTTATCAGAGGGAGAAAGGAAAACAATCTCAGCCCAGCTCTGTGTTATATAAGCAACTCTGACTTTTAAAAACTCTAAGGAAGAAAAATGTTGAAATAAGGAAGTGAGCAAGCATCTCATTCATTTCTGCTTTCATCTCCCACACCCACAACTCATCAGGAACTACCTGGACAACCATAGCTTACCCACCTGCTGCTGTAAAGACAACACAATGTGAAAAATAAATCAGCAATTCATGCAATTGTAATTTCAGCATCAAGCTCAGAATCAGTGTTCTGAGTTGAGGATGTCCTTCTTATAATTAACCATTGAAACTCAGTTGTGCTATGTTTAAGCAACTGTCAAACCTCTTGGCGCAAAAAAGTCTAGCAAGGTGGTAATGAACACCCCAAGATCTTATGCTTCCTTCTTGCTTGACATTTGAGATGAGGCCAAGATATCATTAACCAACTGCAACCTCCAAGAAGAGTGATTCCGGCCGCTGCCTCCCACAGCCCTGTTGTTGATGGGAAGGTGTCCTGGGCCTGAGCTTTCTCTAGAGGTGAAACTATGGTAAACAACCAGAAAGCATTATATTTTTCCAAAAGCTCTTGACAGCAGCAATGTTATTTACAGAATAGCAGCTACCCTTCTCTGAATAACGATAAAATTATAATCATTAAAAAGAATTATTAATATGTTTTTAAAATATATTGACTGCAAACAATGAGCCAAGAAAAGGAATATTTTTTAAACAATTCTCTGAATTCATTCCAAATTGGTCACCCCTTTCCAATCATTTGCTCATTTCACTGCTTTCACATCCAGTCTGAAATATTTCCAAATGAGGTACAAAACAATAGCTAGGATAAGGCCAATTCCTTAATTCAAAGAAAGCTGCAGATACCAAGATTGAGAGCAAATCCTGGCCACCAAATCAGCCCCCACTTCTGCTAAGCCACAAAGCAAGAGTGTCTAATGACCCCTGTATACCATGTCTAAACATTTAAAAATCATTACTAAATATAAACATGTTACAATGTGGAAGGCTAGTTTTGAGTTCATGATTCCAAGGCTCTTAGGAATTCCATAAAAAGCATGAGAGTATATAAGTATGCTGCTTAGGGATTTGTCTTCTCTCTCCACCTCAGCTGCATTGATTGAAGCTAATTATATGAGCTTAACAAAAGAGTACCACATGGGCTCAGGAGCCCCACACATGTATGGCACAGTCTACTCTCAGGGTACCAGATCCATAACGAGGTCTATGATCACTCAGAAACAAATAGCAAGCAACTGGGTAGAGAATTCTGTAATCTACACCCAGAGTGTGGTCTACATGGGACTGTGGACTCTTCTCCTAGGCACTGTCAGTAGGCTATGATCAGAAGAAGGTATTTTAGTCCATTTGGGCCATTGTGATAAATACCACAGACAAGGCAGATTATATGCAACAGAAGTACATTTTTTATATTTCTGGAGGCCAAAATGTTCAAGGTCAGGCTTCCAGCAGGTTTAGAGTCTGATTCATAGATGGCTATCATCTCACTACGTCCTCACATGATGGAAGAGGCTAGCTACCTCTCTAGTTTCTTTTACAAGAGAACCAGTTCCAAAGCCCTTCACCAAGGCCCTACCTCCTAATATCATCACCCTGAGGGTTAGGATTTCAAAAGATCCATTGTCGGGGGGACACAAACATCCAGCCCATAGTAGAGGAACAAAGTAGGACCTATTAAAGTCCAAAGCTTGGGACAGGAGTCACTTGGGTTTCAGGGCCACACTGTAACTCACAGACCTCATGTCTTCAACACACTACTGCCTGTGGCCCAAAGGCAGTTTCTTCAGGAATGGTGATACTTTTGTGCCTCCCAGAATATGAAAACCTCTTTTTTCAGGTTGGGACCCAATAGATGTGTTCTAGCTTCAGCAGATGAACTCTGATGCCTCCCTCACTAAACCCAAAATCTCCAGTTTGAGAGTTGGTTCTTCCCAGGGAGATAGTGGCATAGTTATGGCTTTCAGAAGCCAAAAGAAATGTTGAAAGAATTTGAAGAGCTGCAGGCTGTTTCTATCAATAACAAGCCATAGAACTAAGACATGTTACTTCTTACTCTGGGTCTTAATTTTCATGTTTGAAAAGCAAAGCAAGTCTCCTTCTGGAGGTAGTTTCTAAATACTTTCTGTCCTGAGCAAAGAATTGATCAAGACAGCAGAAATGGTAGCAAAGTTTTATTAAGGTTGAAACAAAATAGGCTCTACAGAATGAGTTTTGGCCAAGTAAAAGCAGGAAAAGAAGTACACTCTACAGCATGAGGAAAGACTACCATGAAAGAACAAACACGGTGGCAAAAAGCTTCAGGAGTAACTGTGCTTTATGTATCATTCCTCAGACTGACCTCAGATCTAGGCCATCCTATTGAAAACCTACTTACATTCTCATGAGAAGTCATGGGCAAGGCTTTAACAAACATTCTGTGCATGTGTCCTGGGATTTTGTCATCCCGCCACACCCTAATTTCCTATCTCAGAGGGGAGAACTTTATAAGGCTTAAATGTTTTAGTTGAAAACAAATCTTTGAAAATTAGGAAGATTTGCCCCATGTGGCAACATGCAACTGTAGCATGCACTCTAGAGGCTGAGGCAGGAGGATCTGAAGTCCAAGCCCAGGCTAGGCATTTTAAATGACTTAACAAGACTATTTTGGTTTGTGTTTAGATGTCCCCCCAAAACCTGTGGTCATGAGGGCAGGCTTTTCAGAGGCAGCTGAATCCAGAGTTTGTGACTGGTTTTATTGTGTAATGCTGGGATTTGAGGTGTGAATGTCACACTCACTCCAGGGCAGACAGCCTGCATACAACAGAAGGGAGGAAAAGAGACTTGCTCCTGCTTTTGCTTTTGTTCCTTTGCAATCTTCTACTCCATGAACAACGGTGGCCCCTCTGCCATGCCAACCTGCCTTGGAGCCTGCTAACCATGTACTGAAAACTCTAAACTGTGAGCCACTTAACCTCTCCTCTTTAAATCTGGATGTTGGTTGTTTTGTCACAGCGATGAGAGAAAAGTAACTAACACAAAGACCCAGTCTTAAAATAAAAAAACATAAAGGGCTAGGGATGTAGTTCAGAGTGAATACTCTGGGCTCCGTTCCTGTACCACCAAAATGATGATGATGATGACGATAATAATAAGTACATTTCAAATGAAACTCTACACATGAATTTCCCCTAAATATAAAAAGCACTGTATGAGACTGCTATACTCTGAGATATTCTTCCATAATCCAGTCCCAAATCCACCATTCCCTATGTAAAATGTATGTAGAGAGAATGGGAGATTAAAGTAAGTACAGAGGGGCTGATGGAGATGGGGGGAAAGGCAAAAACAGCAATGGAGGCTGGGAGGAAGGAAGCAAGGGAAGAGAGAAAGAAACCTAAGAGAAACAGAATGATAAGGAAAAATGGCTGATATAATATGTACATAGCATTCTAGGTGTAGGTATAGCTTTCAGTCTTGCACATATAACAGCTCATTTAATTCCTCACAAAACCCTCTGAGATTGGTTCCATTATTCCCCTATGCGATAGAAGAGAAAGCTGGAGTGCAAACAGGTGAAGCAAATTCTCAAGGTCCCCGAGGTAAGAAACAGCAAAGCTGGACTTCTAATCCTGCAACAGTTTCCGGTCTCATTCAGATTCCAAGCACAGTAGCCCCGCACAACCTCTCAGACTCCTCCTCCTCTACTGCTGTCTTACTTGGCTGCAGCATGGTGGACCCCATATGATGCGGTCCCCACGCAACCTTTCCCGTTGGCACTGCTGCTCCAACCACTCTTCCATCAGATGACTTCAAGGTCTGCTTCCTTACCTCCTCCAGGTCATGACTCACTTGCCAATAGTTTCATGAGGGCTTCTTGATTATAGCACTAATTAAGATTTCATCCAGATACCCACTTACACATTCACACTCTTCGCTCTCCTCCCTGATTTATTTTTTACCAAAATACGTATCAATCTCTAGGCATGCCATAGTTTTTCTTGCCTATGGCCTGCCTTCCCCTCTGAATATAGACTTTATGAGTGGAACAATTTTTATCTTTCATGCATTATTGTATCTCAACTTCTTACAACAGGGCCTAGTATAAAGGAAATGCACAAAAAAATTATTCACCAAATAAATTTTAAAATGTATTTAAATATCCAAGCATCAGAGAGTCTGATGTTCCAACATTGTTTTGTCTCCTCCCAGGAATTCTTTTGGGTCAGATTTTCCCTCTGGACTATGACACCTTTGAGTCAACTGAGTAGCCACATCAACTCCACGTGTGGGTCAGAGAACTCCACAGGCACCAACCAGGCTCGTCCATATGCCTACTATGCCTTGTCCTACTGTGTGCTCATCCTCGCCATCGTCTTCGGGAATGGCCTGGTGTGTGTGGCTGTGCTGAGGGAGCGGGCCCTGCAGACCACCACCAACTACCTAGTGGTGAGCCTGGCGGTGGCAGACTTGCTGGTGGCCACCTTGGTGATGCCCTGGGTGGTCTACCTGGAGGTGAGTGGGCTCCACATGCATGCTGCCCTTGTAATTGTGCTTGTCTGTCTTCCCTGAAACCCTGGGCTTTAAAGCTCAACTTACTCTGCAGTGGAATATGAACTGGGGTAGAAAGGAAAAGTCCTCTCATTCTCCCTTTAATGATGAATGATACTGTTGAATGCAATCACTATCTACTCATATTAGAACCAGGGAATGCTAATTATTCAGTAGCAGTGTGTGACTGGAATTGACTCAAAGGACTTTTCCTGAAAAGACTCTGGGCCAGTCCCATTTGAGGAATGGAGGAATTTCAGGAAGCAATCCTGTGCACATTTTGATCTAAGTTCATATATCCAGGGTGAGGGTGTGCAGGAGGGGTATGGGGTGAGGGAAAAAAGAAATTACTGAAAAATAAAGTTAAATTTTAATATGAATGAGAGAAAAAGAAAAAATAGTCTGCTAATACATTAAATTCCTCTTGATGGTTCAGTTGTTCTCCATCTTAGTTTTTTCTTCCAGGTACTGGTTCTTTGTAGTCTCTGATACTGAAGGGATAGACTAACCTTTCAAATTTATACTTTTAAGGCTTCTATTATTAGTACTTAGCCACCCAAATAATGCAGTATATCCCTGAGAATTGTTCTGGGGAGAATCATTTCTTAAAATTTAAACTATTTTCATTTTAAAATGTAAAATAGAGTCAGTAGATGATCAAGATAAACCATCCATTTGCTAACAAGGAATTTGGGGTGCCTACATCAGTTCAAGAAACAGATATTTCTACCAGGAAAACATGCAATCACTAAAAAGATTTTTTTTAAACACCTTAATGTGCTATTAATATTTCTCCTCTACACTGTATGTCATTCTAAAGAGGTATCCAATGAAGGATTAAAATGATTCTATGATTAATAGAAATTAAGATTCAGCAAATTAATATTTCAGTTAATATTAATAGTGAAGGTGACAGTTAATTAAGTATGACATATCATGGGAGAGTAAAAGTCTTGAACATAGGCTGCCTGTGCCAGTGCCAGCATTAAAGAATGGTTGAGAACTAAAATTAGACTTCTTATCTCAAAGACAGTATGAGAAAAAAAGAAAGAAAAGGAGAGATCAATTAGGCTGATTGGTAGAGATCTAAAGGTTAAGAGAATACTTGAGAAAAATATGTGTTTATTCTTCCCATAAAGGATAATTCTGAGAAGGAAAAATTTTGCTATTACCTTGACTTTTTTGTAAATCTGGTTAGTCTGGGTCATCTTTGAAGTCAGGAGCTATATCTTTGCTCTCCTTTCCCTCTAGTCCAAACACACTACCTGACGTATAACGTGCTAAGTATTTGATACATGAATGACTAAACAAATGTGCTCTGTAACGTATGCATTATATGAGAAATTTCCTGCTGGTATCATCTTCATCTACTCTCATTGTTACTGGCAGAGTTTTGGGGTGAAGGAGAATGAACTACTTGTAATTTTATATCCAACAATAGGAAAGAGTTAGAAACATGTAATGTTTCTGTTCAAGAGCAAAATACTTTACCCACTACAGTCTATACAGGATGGTATGTAAAAGACAGAGAGAAAGAAGAGGGGAGGGGAGGGGAGGGGAGGGGAGGGGAGGGGAGGAGAGGAGAGGAGAGGAGAGGAGAGGAGAGGAGAGGAGAGGAGAGGAGAGGAGAGGAGAGAAGAGAAAATCAATTAGGCTGATTGGTGGGTTGGTCAGTGATTCACAGATGTCTTGCCATGTTTCTTTTCATCCCTAAGCATTACAAAGGTTCTTTAGTCCCCTAGAAAGATGAATGTCAGAAATAAATGCAGGCAAAGGACATTCACTCTACTGAGCATTTTCTCTTCCCAGCACACTCCCTCTGAATAAAACCCAGATTTTTAGTAACTGTAATAAAGCCACTCAGAGACACTCTTTGGCTATACATTTGTGATTGCTTCTAGAATCTAATTAGACCCTAGAGGAAAGACCTCAAAGCTGCTTGTGTAGAAGATTAAAAACTCATGCAACATTTTCTAACCATACCTGCCAGTATGGACAATGTCGCTGTTATATGGGTGAGCACAGAAGAACAACCGAGTTTGTGGAAAACCACATTAAATGTTGTCGAGAGTGTTCATGGAATCCATGTAGTAGTATCTGTATGTTTTCTTCTGTGGGAAAAGTCCAGATGGAGGTCTTACATCCCCTCAGGAAAAAAAAAACACCAGATTATTTGACATAAATGTTCAGTAATAAACAACACAGTAAAAGATAAGTAAATGAAACCTTCTATATTCAAGTAAAGAAGATTTGGGAGAACAGAGACGTCTGTCCACTGAGAAATAAACTTTTGAGATCTCTGGTCTTACCAGTATTTCTCAAGACCTTAGTCAATGCAACTCAATATCTCTGCATCATTTTCTCTGACAGTCAACAAAGATTTTGTCTTGATAAAAGATAGGGTACAACTTAAAACAGCCAGCATAATAGGTAATAGAACTTTCTAGTTCAGAAGAGTAGAACTTCTATCCAAGCCAGTCAATAACTTTTTTGGTCTTGAGTATTTTACTGTCTTTTTCGGGGCACATGGGGTACCTTAATGAAAAACAAAACAGCCCTTTAAATCCTTACAAAGACTATAAGTATACAAGTCTACATATCTCAGAGAAGAGCAAAGGGTTATTCTCACAGTAGTTGTCCTCGTAACTTCTCATGTGCGTAACAGGACACACATGAGAAAAATAACAGCTTTGGGGGGCCAAAATTTTCACCAAGTCCAAAGTCCCATGCACGTTGATTTGAACATATTCATCTTCTCTCAGGGGAAATTGACAATTTTTTTCCAGATACTTGTATGTACAAATTAGAAATGTTTAAGCTGTAAATGCTGGTAAACTTTACTAGCTAGGATTTAACCAAATAGGTTATTTTTCTCACATATCAGAATTCTGGAGGCAAGTGATATTTTTGTGTGTTGATGTTAAGTCAGCTGTTCATGGAATCATCATGGACCACATTGTTCTATACTTCATCATTCTTGACAAGCTGATCTACCAAAGCCTTCAGCATCATGGCATTATCCAAAAATACAATGAATGGGGACAAGAAAGAGAGAAAGTGACAGAGAGAGAGAAAGAAAGAAAATGAGAGAGAAACAGAGAGAGAGAGACTTTTCCTTCATGTGGCTTGGTTGAAAGCAGTTCTCTAAGGTTTCACATTAATGTAACTGGCCAGTCCTGACTCAGCAGATCAACTTTTGCTATGAAATAGGCAACAAATTGGCACATAACATTGCTAGTTTTGGAATTTACAGGGACAAAAGTCATTCTAACATAGGGTTGTTTTATGGACTCAGTCCTGGTAGTCAGAAGACATGTAATTAAGTGAACATAAAGGAGAAGACAATAACACCATCTATGGTGGGCTGCTGTTAGCATCAACTGTTATCGACTTATAGTACTTTGAAAACTAAAATATCTACAAATCTATAAATATCTGTTTAGACACTTTAAATTTTAAGTAAAAGAAAACCTGATTCCAATGGGATTAAACTTTTTCATGACTTTTAACTTTATGGTGGCATAAAAGCAATAAGCATTTAGTAGGCACTGTACTTCAAATTTTGAATTCTGATCATTTCCTGGGCTAGCCATACGTAGTATAACACTGCCATGCAATGTCAGATAACATCAGCAATCTGCAGTTCCCAATCAGTCACTGGATACCAAGGAGAAACAACAGCTGGTCTGCAGTGCACTGGGTTGTTAAGCCACAGTATTTGGTGGGTTAATTTTATTAAATACATTTTCAACTTCTAATGGGCTTGGAGACTTATTCCGTCATAAGCTGGGGAGCAAGCGTACTAAACAGAGAGTACTTGGGCCCCAGTATGAACATGTAAAAAGATATAATCAATAGGAAATGTAAGGCCAAAAAAATAGAACAGAAAATAGAACAAAGAAGTCTGGATTGTTCAGTAAAACATACCACCGAAAAAGAGATCAAGTTCAGAGAGAAAGGATAAAAAAGAAGGAGGAGGGAGCCATTGGAACTTGTAAGGATATATATTATCTATTTTTTTTTTTTTTCTGTATTGATTACTTAAAAGGATTCTTTTTTTTTTTTTTTTTTTGTCTTTTTCCTTTTTATCACTACTGGGGATCGAACTCACGACTGCCTGTTTTCAAGGCAGGCACTTATGCCGCTGAGCTAAACTCCCAGCCCCATTTAAAAGGATTTTTAAAGGGAAGTTTTTATTATAATTTTTAAAAACCCTAGATGATAGCAATTGAAGACTTCGCTGGCAAATAAAAGCATGAGTTCTCACAAAGTCTTCACCAATCTCTGGATTTTGATCATTCACAGGCTGCTAAAACTGGGAGAGTTTAGATATTATTCTATTATCTTTTCTAAAGTATGACTCAACCACAAGAAGTTTCTGGCCATTTCCTGGAGACAGGTTTCTCTATGGATGTGCCATGGAGACTGCATATCAAATGAGCTCCTCTGTGAGTCATGAACCTAGGTTTTGAGAGGTAAACTTTTATGCAGGGAGGGAGGTGCTGCTTCCTTAAAATATCAACTGTTGGGTCTTCTTGGATCTCCCAAACAGGAATTTCCACAGTGGGCCCGAAATTTGCAGTCATCGCAATAAATCTCCAGCCCCAGTTCTATGCCAAGTAGGGTACAGCTAGCTTGTCAGTTCTCACAACATTTGGGAACCACTAATCTATAAAACTCTCATTGCAAAGACAAGGAAATTGGGATGCAAAGGGTGAAAAATTCGTATTTATTAACCCTATCTTTTCTCACAGCAAACAAAATTATAAATGTAGCAAACAAAAATGAAGAAGCTAATTAGAGAAAAAAATTCCATCTTTAGATAGCTCCCTAAAACAACTAAAAATCTATGATCTCAGGCTGAGTTCTTAACCTGAGGATTCCATCAAAAAAATGAAATAACTTCTTTCTTCTCACTAAGCTAGAATTGGACACTTCCTTCTATTATGAATGTAGTCATCAAC